TTGTGACTGAAATGAAGGGAGGAACATAGGGGTAAATGATGCAGCCAACTGTGATGCATGAGAATTGCATTCTTTAAGGTAGATGGTGTTTATATCTTGGACTATGTGATACTTTGAAGAAGAAGAAAAAGAATAGCAGCACTGCTATTTAGATTAATAAAGCATTTTTGAGGTAAGTGCTTAAGAAGATACTCATTAAGTCGGAATTATTAAGTCATGTTATTAACTTCTGACCAGGGAAGCTGGTTAATCTAGGCAGCCAAGTTCAGGGGCTGAAGAGGAGAGGAAGAAGAGAGCACCTCGCGGTTGGTCACCTGGTGGATGAAGAGCTCAGGGGAGAGGTCCCAGCTCTAGCCATGACCTTCACAAGACAGGGTAGAAAGGAGAGCTGGGATGAGGGCCTGGGGCACATGAACAGTCAAGACTGAGCTATGTGTGTCTCTGGGGGTAGGTATCACTACTCTCCCTGGTCTCACTCCATGCACACCCTCCCCACCTCCACCAGTTAACCCCTGAGTGCACAGAGCAGTCTTTTGAAAGCGTAAATCAGATCATATGCTTTTGTTTAAAACCATCCCTTCCCCGGGACACTTGAAAGCCTCGAATTACCCTTGTTTCTTCAGTCTCTATGCCCCACCACCTCCACTGACAAAGGTTTTGGCAGGGAATAGATTTAGTCAATATTGAAGAAAAGGTCTCTCTACATTAAATCTAGGTGCCCTCCATAATCAGAAAATGTGCCCAGATGCATGAGTTATAGAGCTGACTGCTTATTCAGAAATGCAATGTCTGAAGTCTTTTAGTTCAACCCCTCATTTCACAAATGAAGAAACTGAGGCACTGAGAAGGCAAATGACTTCCTAAGTAAGTATCAGAGGTGGACCACATCTCATGTCTCCTGATTCCTGGCCCAGTGGCATTCATGGCCAAGGCTTATAGACAGCTCTGCACATGGAAGGGCATTTAAGGCTGGCAGAAAGAATGTCACAGCCAGGCAGATGGGAGGAGTGGAGGGGCAGCTGGTAGGAAATGGAAAAGCCATAAAGAGTCAAAATATCCATTCCCACTGGTCATGTCCTCAGGACAAACATGACTCCCAAATGCCTCTTAATAGAGGCATAAACAGTGTCATGAAAGAACCGCATGGATGCTCTGACTAAAAGCCATGATATGTCATTTGTGCCTAATGACTTAGCACCCCTACTTATTTGGACTCTTTATTCAGCTCTTTAACCTTTTAAGTCATTTTTAACTTCTTTCACTTCTTTTAAGTCATTTGAGACCTTCTTTGCCATTTCACTCTTTTCATTTGGTTTATGGCTACAGTGTGGAATCTATATGCCCATTTTTCTCAGTCTTCAGGCTAATGGCAAAAGAAGATAATGATGAACTTAGGCAATAAGACTTGCCTGCAGTGCTTTGTGTTTTGAAAAGGGGCTGTAGAGAAGAATAGGAACAAATTCATGAGTCAACATTATATTTATCCCTCCATTGTGAAGGATACTGCCTCTAATTCTTTTGTGAAACCTAATCATTTGTTAGGTTTAGTAAGATATTTTTCTGCCCACTGATAAGGAAACAAAAAAGCACTTACTGTGCTGTCTCTAGAATGTGAAATGTAAGCTGTGATCTTTTGTTTATTTGTTTTTAGCTCTATTTTATGATCACAGGCTTAAGGGTTGAAGGGGCCTTGGGGAACCGCCAGCCACACTACCCCTTTCTGTGCAGGAAGCCCCTTCCTGACACCCTACCAGTGGTTCGGATCCTTCTCTCTGAAACCCCACTGCAAGTTGCCTCTACTCTGTGAAACACTTACTTCATTTTGCTTTACTTGCAGTTATTTGAGGACTTTTCTTAAGTCTCAGCTGTTAGCCCCTGAGGACAGGAATCTTGTCTTGCTCTTCTTTCATCTCCCAAGGTCCCCAACACTGAACCCAACCCATATACATTTGAATGAGTGACAAGGTGCTCCAGAGACAGCTACAGATAGACATTTCTAATAGCTAGAAAGCTCTTCTTAAAGTGAGCAGAAATACTCCTCCCTGTGTTCTGTGTGGGGAAAGACTAAAGAGGAGGGGGTGACAGGCAGCTAGCATCTCTAAGGTGTTCATTAGGGATCCTGGGGACAGGCTAATACCCTGCTCTTATTGTTGTTCTTGTTTCCTATCTGGACAGAGCACACAAGGTATTTCCCAGGACAAGAAAACCTAACAACCCCAGATAAATCTGGATAAATGGAGTGTGGGGAGTGTTTTCCCAGGCTGAATTCAGTTTGGAAGAACAGTTATATTAGATGCCTTTAAAGTCTCATCCATATCCCCTCAGCCCACACTGAGGATCATTTACAGGTGGTTCCTATACACACTGTCAACTTCCTGCATTTCTCTGCCCATGGTCACTCTGACTTAGGGAAGGTGCTTGGCTTGTGTGTAGGTCACACTGAAAATGCCAGGGAGTTACTCTAGGAGAGACTTAATATGTAAATACCTCAGCCTCCTCATCTCCCAGTAGGATAGCTGGGAGGTGTGTTCTACACAATCTCTGAAGGTTTTAAGAGAGACCAACCCTCAATTAACGATAGCATTAACCCACTAATAATTAACACATCCTTTATTTTCCTCCCATTCCTCCTTGACTCCCCCAACTTCTCACCATGCTTCCTGGGATCACACCCAAACAAATTATCTGTCCAAATTCTTTTTTTTTTTATATATATTTGCAAGTTAGTTTTTTTTTTATTTTTTTGCATGCACCTCTTTTATTTTTTTTATTTTTTTTAAAATAATAAATTTTATTTTTATATTCCCCATACAATTGCAACCCCGTCATTCTGACCCCAATCCCTCCCTTCCTGCCACCCACCCCCCCAAAAGTGTCTCTGGTTCATAGTTTTTTGTTGATTTTGATTTTCACTTTCTTATAGTTATTCATTTTCCTGGTCCCTTATTTAAGTTTTCTAGATTCCTGCTATGAGTGAGACCATTGGTATTTTTCTTTTTCTTTCCAAATTCTTGCTTCAAGGTCTTCTTTGGGAGGAGCCCAAACTAAAATAACAACATAGGCAAAAATTGGGGGGGGGATTTAAATATTATTCCCTTGAAAGATGGAACTGTTAAAAATCAGTGCACACCCCTCTATTTCTAAGTGGAGCATTAGTTTTTCTGTCAGTTCTAAAATAGTTTACTTTTAAGTAGAATTTTTTCCTAGCTCAGAAAACATGGCTCATAATGATTCCCAAATATTAGAAGGATAATTTTTTCAAATAACTGGCATCAGTAATATTCTAGCTCGAGTAAAGGAAATATACTACATCAGAAAGGTCTCAGGTCAGACTAAAGAAAGAGATTACACACTAGGGTCATGAGACATCAGGATGGATTTGTGTTCAAGCTCTTCACTTAACCTTTTAAATGTCCACAGAGACCTTTTAAATGAAGAGAGACCTTATCAACCCAGCTCAGGTTTGGGATGGAGTGCTTGAGGCCAGGGACAGCTAAGATGAATGGGACCATGAAGGCAGAGGGAAAGGAAAATAAAGAACCGTCATTAAACTTACCCAATATTAATGAACTACCTCTGAGCTAATAGAACCAAGAAAAAATGCTTTTGCTGAAGAATATTTATTATAATTTGAAAACATTTGTGACAAAGAAGGAAGGTGTGCAAGCAACCTGCAGCTTCAGTCCTTCCTCAGGAAGACATTGTGTGATTCAGAAAAGCTCTCTGTAGGTGCCACAATATTACTTGATTGTTTTGACACCCCAGACAATTAATAGGAGATAACTGTTAAAAATAATCATGCTCATGTCTTATGTCTGTCTTATGTTTGTGGGTTTTTTTTTTTTTTAATTCTGTCTTATTCCTTCCTGGAAGGTTCCTGCTGGCCCAGGAGGGAACACTATACATTTCATGAAATTTTAATGGCTAATCAAAGATGGGAGTGAATATAAACAAAACACAAAATGAAAGGCATTGGTGTGTCCAGGAAAACCCATAGATGCTAGATGGGATCGGGAGCCGGGGACAAGTGTTCATAAGTCAAGTAGGAATAAGAAAGCGTTCCACAGATCATATTTTCAGTGTGGAAAAATGTAGCTTCAAATCCTCTCTCTTCTTTTTTTTAAAGATTTATTTATTTATGCATACAAGAACCAGGCTACAGGCCAGATGTGCGGGAGGGTGAGAGGATTCACCAGACAGAGTGGGGAGCAGAAAAGGCAGATTGACTGAAATACACTGCTGAGGGGAGCAGCAGGCACGACAGGAGAGGTCTACTGTCCTGTGTGGGATTCTTGCCGTTTGGCCGGGATCGAACCCGTGCTGCAGAGGCTGCAGAGAGCTTCAAAGTGTGCTCAACCCCCCACCAGGGGAGGGCCCAGCACCTCTCTCTATTTAAACCGTGACTATTGGTCAGTGTCCCAGCTCTGTTGGTGGGGGAAAAGGCAGGGAAGAGCAGAGATTTCTCTGGGTAATAGGAAGATGTATGATTATCATGTGACATGTGTTTTTTGTCCTCTCTGATGAGCACTCCTGCCCTGTGGTGGGTTGCAGTAATGCCTTGGGTACACCTCTCTCCTGAGCAAGAAAGGTGCCTTTGTCTCCTTTGGCATTTGCCCTAGTTCTATGCCATTGCTTCCAGAGAGTAACACTTGAAAGTTTCTTACTGTCCCTTTGGTATGACCTCATAATATAAGATGATTGTGAAGATTTTGTAAGGTAATCCATATAAAGTGACTACATTCATGTGTATTAATACTTGGCACCAAAACTATGCTGGTCCCAGAATGAAAGGTCTTTTTTACTATGCTGCTCTCTATTGAAATTTTATGTCACAGACAAAGATATCCCTTGTACCAAAAATGGCTACACTATGTGGCCTGCACCAGCCTCTCTCATACATTTTGTTTTGGGTAGCCTCTTTCCCCAAATACCCACCTAGAAGTGCTTGGTGGATGTCTTTCATCTTGCCTCATTAAGTGCTCGTCCTCCTTTGCTTCCAGAACGCCTATGTCAACATCAACCGCATCATGTCCGTGGCTTCCCGCCTCTCTGAGGCCGGCCATTATGCCTCCCAGCAAATCAAGCAGATTTCCACACAGCTGGACCAGGAGTGGAAGAGCTTTGCGGCTGCCCTGGATGAACGCAGCACCATCCTCGCCATGTCCGCGGTGTTCCACCAGAAGGCTGAGCAGGTGAAGCCAAGGGAGATGCTGGTGGTGGGAAGGGTAGAGAAGAGGAAGAAGGGTAAAGTGATATAATATACTGACTCTGTGGAGTGCCCTACTCTCTTTCAAACACTAAAAACTCTGCTGCATAGTTGCAACTATGATGCATGTTCTACCCTTTTCATGGCCCCTATGTACATAAAAAAAAAAAATTGATAATTCTTGGTGGCTCTGCTTAACATCCAAACAAAAAAGAACCTAGAGCCTGCTAGTCCATTGTGTGTGTGTGTGTGTGTGTTGACTATCTGTTTTGTTTGCATTCCCTGGACATAGATCAAGGGGGTTAGAATAAACCGATCACTGTGTACTGAGAGAAGGAAGAAACTGATTTTGCATGAAGTGATTGCTGTGGATAATAATAATATAATGATAATGCTGTGGATAAATATAATAATTATTTGTGGCCATTTACTTACTGGCATTGACCGGGGACATTTCTAACTCATTTTATAGAGAAGAGAACTGAAGCTCAGAGAGATAAGTGACCTGTCTGAGATCTGATGGCGTGTTGGAGCTGGTTCTAGCCAGATCAGGGAGAACCAATTATTAAATGCTAGGAATTCTGTGAGCTTGTTATTAAACACAGTCATTATTTTAAATTATACATTTACATTAGATATGTCACATTAAAAACAAAGGTAATAAACACTCATAGCTCACCACTCCCAATTATTTTTATGTGTTTTACTATTATTTTTGTTCTTAGTTATTTATAGCAATTTATAGAAATATGATAGAGTTGAATGCTACTGATTATCTCTTTCCAACTCCATATTCTTCATGGTGGCACATTGGTAGGTTGAAATAGACCAAGCTAAATTTTTCAAACCAAGAAAATCATCAAAACCTTGAATCTTAAGAAACTGATGGAGAAAATATTGAAAATGCAGACTAAACTTAATAATGTGTCCTGTCACTGTTACATTGTGGATAGCACACAAAATTGAGGCAACATTTTTCTGACATTCAAAACTATTATTATTCTATTCAGTACAAAGTCACATGCTGATGAATGAATTGTGTTCTAACATAAATCTTCAGGTATCTTTTCACTTTTGTCTTATACCTCAATATAAGTGAAGAGATCAGCTTTTGTGTTGAAACTAAGTAAGTCTGTCATTCACAAACAAAGCATCCTGTGAGAATCGATTCGCTATGTAGAGTTTAAAATAATGATGTTGCATATGTTATTATTCTTTTTAAAATATGTGCTTTAGATCCTTTATGTCAGTAAAGTTTATATAAATTTCCATGTGTAAACACACACATATCACACACTTGCAAATATATGCTAGTTGTTCAACATTTATTAACATACCACTGTGAAAAACCACACAATCTGTGTGCTGCTGGGATTTTAACCCAGGTATCACTAATATTAAAGCCTATGAGCTTACCTCTAAATTTCCTTCTTTGTATGAAATTTGGGTAACTTACAGATAATGGAGAGTCAGACTTAAGGTAATACCTTAAATCTCTCCCTCTGTTACCCATATAACATGGAAGGCAACATGGGATAATTTAGGATGTAGACTTTGAGATCAAACACACATAGGCTCTAATCCCAGCCCCAGGACCATTTATTAACTCATGGGCAAGTCACCTTACCATTCTGAGCTTGTTTCCTCCTCTCTAATGTGAAGACATCATAAATTTTATGGTTGTTATATGGATTAGAGATGACATCTAAGTTACCTAGTGTGCTTTTTAAATGGTAGATATTACTGCTGGGGATATTTTCAATATATCAATATCTTTGTGTTTCCTCCACCTGAGTCCTCCCCTAAAACTTAAATACTTATTGTCACAAATCAAGGGAAACCACTCATAATGAAAGAGATCTAGCCATGCTTTTTAATTCTAGCTTATGGTAGAAGAAACTAATAGTGACTAGTTCACTCTTAAGACCATGCAAATATTCATGTCTCATCTGTTGTATCTTCAACCCTACCAAACTCTTTATTTAAGGTTTATCTAGATTGGCAATGGATACTCAGTCCTTCCCTCTCTGTCATTCATTCTCTCTTTGAGCTGACCATTTTATGGAAACTGTTATAGGACTCTTCTTAGAGTAGTACAGAGGTATCCCAGGGCCTTGAAGATATGCTCCCTCCATGACTGATACATAAGTGTAGAGTTGCTTTCAGTTTCCTCTATAAAGCAGGTAATGGGTGGAACAAAGAAATTTCTGAGATATTAGCAAGTCCATGCAACCTGATACTAGATGGCACCCAATACTCTTTCAAAATTGTTAAGAGAGAGCTTCATGTGACTTAAAAGAAAATACAGGATAAAAATCAACCACAGGAGCCAGGGACTGAATGCTAACAGTGAGCCAAGACTAGAGCTTGAGTAATTGAAGAAAGCATAGTACCAAAACTGAGGGTAAACTTCTATTTGTCAACTTCTATTTGATGTTTCCTGATTTTTATTAGTTTGGATCAGATGCAATTTTATTTGTATCTATTTTTTAATTCAATTTCCCCAGGTATTACCTGTCCTTCAGGGAAACTCATAAACCATGCTTCTTTTTAGCTGGAAACTAAAAAACACTGAACAATGGACTCAAGACTATTTTTTCAATGCACTTATTTAGGCAGCTCTTTATTATCCTCATATGGGCTGTTCTAGGCAATGAGATAAAGTGGTATTTAGGCAATTAATTTAAATGGAGCTGTGCATCCAAGCAAGAGGAATCACAGACAGAGCCATTCCAGACTGTTGGGTGAAGAATTATTTGCATTTTAAAGGTATATTTTTCCACCCAATAAATTTGAGTGATTTCAGTTAGCTCATCCTTTTTTGTAGAAAGACCCATAGTCTTCTATAGTTGTTAATTTTAATTTTTTAATAATTTGGTGTCTGTCAAGATATATGCCAGTTTGTCATGTGCTTGGAGCGACTGCTGCTGTGGGTATAGCCTAGACCCCTAAACTGCCTCCCCACCTCTCTTACAAAGAGGGCCCAACATTGAGGATCATGTTGAGCATTAATCGCCATCCCCTGTGGCAGTGGTCCCTGCAAGTTCCACGGGATTCCTGATAGTCCTGTATGTAGTGTTCCTTGCTCCTTTCCACATTTCAGTGTACACCAACATTAAGTACACATTTGCTCTATACATCCTGTTCCATTATGTGCAGTCCCTCATGTGTGTTGTGCATTGGACAAGCAGTTATCATGTATCCATGTAATGTAGTGAACCATTTCCACACCTATATTTTACAGTCGATATGTAGCTATAATTTGTTGAGTACAATGATGGCTCCCACACCTCCAGTTTTATCATAGTCATCTTTCTTTGTGGAAACCACATTTTCTAGACTGGTAATGGGTTGGAGTTCTTACATGGGATTAGTGTTTATAGATTAGAAGAAAAACACTCCACCCTCTGGAGCAGAGGCTACACTCTGTCTGAAGAGGTCCCAATGCATCTCCCCATGTCTATGTCATCTGCTCATTGCTTACTTCCGGTGCTCCCACATTGACCCAGCTGCCATCTCCTTCCAGTTCCTGTCAGGAGTGGATGCCTGGTGCAAGATGTGCAGTGAAGGTGGCCTCCCATCTGAGATGCAGGACCTGGAGCTGGCGATCCACCATCACCAGTCCTTGTATGAGCAGGTGACCCAGGCCTACACAGAGGTGAGAACCAAGCAAGATACCCAGGGACACTGGGGGTGTGTGCATACTGGTGGACAGCAAGAGCACTGGCCTGTATTCTGTGTGATAACCTGGCTTGGACTAAGAAGAGAGGTCATTTTTCTCCCTGAAAGTGGTATCTTTAGGTCCTTGATCTATGAATACTGGTGTTTCTGGCCAGAAAACAAAAGCAATGGAGCCATCAGCCACCACCGTCACAAGCATACATGCACACACACGAACACACACCTAGCTCATCATGTATAAAGATGGGATTCTCTACTCTGAGGGAGGAATATAAGAAAGCAAAGCTGTGCTTCCCTGCAGTTTGCTTTCTGGCTGTTGAACAGGCATGTGCACTTTAAACTTACCACCACTTCTATGAATCAGCTTATCAAAAAATGCCAATTTTCTTACTAGAAGTTCCAGAGGAAAACTTACCAAGGGGTGGTGATGAGTGTTTGTAGGAGTAAGCTGTGGCCATGGAAGGAAAGATAAACTTAAAGACTTGTGCTGAAAAACCTAAGGCCAGGACAGGTTACAAACTTAAAAAGGGAAAAAATCTTCTTGACATTCCTTTCAAAGTAAAAGGAAAGGGGTTTATGGATGCATCAGTGTGGACATATACCAATAAGTTGGTTTGATAAAGGGTATAAATTCTCCTTTGACATGATCTTTCCTTTTCACAGGTCAGCCAGGATGGCAAAGCACTCCTGGATGTGCTGCAGCGTCCCCTGAGTCCCGGGAACTCTGAGTCCCTCACAGCCACAGCCAACTACTCCAAGGCAGTGCACCAGGTGCTGGATGTGGTGCATGAGGTGTTGCACCACCAGCGGCGACTTGAGAGCATCTGGCAGCATCGCAAGGTGCGACTCCACCAGCGGCTGCAGCTCTGTGTCTTCCAGCAGGATGTCCAGCAGGTAACAGGCTTCATCCCTGCACCCAGCATGCATCCCAGACTGGCAGATGGCCTGAGTCCCTAACTAGGTGATCTGGCCTGAGAACACCTTATCTATGGAGGGAAAGGGCCATTAGCCCCCAAGTACTTCTCTGCAAAAACAAACACAAAACAACCAGACTTGTTAGTTCCATGCTTCTCACCTAAGTAGCTTTATAGACTGGGCCTTCTCCTTCTTACCTTATTATGTTGAAGAGGGGGCCTTAGTCTGAGGAATAGCAATTCCTCACAATCATATTACATGGTTTTCTTCTGGGGAGAACTTGGCCTTCATTCAGGCATGATTTCCAGACAACTCTGGCACCTGTTGGGTTATTGAGCACTGTCAGGGTTGGGCCCCACATGAAATGAGCTCACTTCTCAATCAGGGATGCAGGTGGCCTGCAGAGTGTGGGGTGGGCTACAGGTAAGGATATTATTTGAGAAGGTTGGACTTGGAGAACCAGATTTAAAACATGGGCTATTGATGAATGTTTGTTCCATAATTAAGCCCTTGCTGGCTTAACCAGACTTTTGCATTATTCTACCGGTGATGTCTTTTTCCTTTACTACAAGTAATAAAAAACTGGTTATATTTCTGACTATTAATGGACAGCCTTGCACAAATACCCTTTTGGATGAAATAACTTATTATTTTCCCTTCATACTTTCTCCTTGGGGACCCCTGGGAGCTTTGCTCTGAGAACTAATATACTGGGGGGAGGGGAGCTGATGAAGAGCTGGGCACTGAGATAGAGGCACCTCCCTGCTGGGTTGCTGTGGGAGGCAAGCATGGGGACCCTCGTGTCATCAGCCTTTTCTGTGGCCACCACGAAATGTCAAGATTATATATGTAAACTAACATTTCACTCTCCTCCCGCACATTGTGTGGTATTGACCAGGTGTAACCCAAAAGTATATCAAAATATAAATGGAAAATTTGAGAGCCAACTGGACATGTCTTCAGAGTGTTTGGTGCCCTTCACTATTGTTGGAAGGGGCTCGGGTGCTGGGCACCCTGACATAGAGGCTGGATGGAAGGCGAGGGGGCATCCATCACTGACTGTGGCAGAGGGGAAGTCGCAGTACAGTCAATTCCCAGAGTAGATGGACTTTCAGGAGGTTCCCCCCTTTTTGGGCCATCCTCCCTTGCAGTTCCTCCCTGCCAAATGGGGCAGTGATTGAGTCATTAGAGGTGACACTTCAGTCTCAGGAGAGATGGGCACTGCATATGTGCTGATCCCACTCTGAAACCCTTGTGGCCTGCTGGGAATGGAGAAGCAATGGATCAGTTGCCTGCTCCTGCCATCTGGAGCTGTCCAGATAAATATATTAGCCCTGAGCATAGGAGAGCACAGGAGAGCATCTGTGATTGAGACAGAATGAGGTGCCAGCCTCTGGGGGCACACACAGGAGTGTTACCCTTTCACTGAACTCTGAGTGATGCGTGGAGATTATCCTGACTACTGACTTCGCAACTTCCTGGGTATGCTTGGCTTCCTGCTGTTTTCATGGCTGTTGAACTAGGTTGGGCACTTAGAAGGTGGGGGTGGGAAACTCTAAAGGCCTCTCCAACAGAAAAGAGTTAGCTAGCCCTGGACCAGCTGGGAACTGCTCTTCTCAGACTTTCTGTGGCCACTGTGACATCTACACTAAAACTGAAAAAAAAAGTATAAGACTATACCTGTGGATCTTTTACATCATAGTCTTAAAAATGAAAGCATTTTTGGAATTGACACCCCATCAATCACCTCTCCTGTCCACGTGGACACTGTGCAAAAGCAAGCAGAAGGTTATGAAGAAGATATGATGGAGGTTTGGATTTTCCCTGAGAACTGAATTCCCTGGGATGATTAATTCCATTGTTATTTTCAGCATATGTGAATATGACTTCTAGGGACATGACGTAACCACCCATTGCCCACTCCTCCTCTTACTCACCTATATCTGACACTTGAACACGTGTGCAAAGAAAAATGTGTGCAAAGGCTAATAAACCTGTGATAGATTTCAAATGATTATCTTACTTCCAACAACTCTTAGTACCTGAAGTCATAATGCACTCAGTGGTTAGAATGCAGGATTTGGATTTGGATCTCCTGGCTTCCAGCTATGCAGAAGCCTATCCTAATTGTTAGCATCAGACTGGACAAGTAATTTCCCTGCTCTGTGCTCCCATAATTTTATTTAATGTAAAAATGAAATTGCTATCAAAATCATATATGTATATTTATTTATATACATCATTTCTCATGTTGCATATTTTATTTTTTTCTCCTCTGTTATCTCTTTAAGAGTAGAAACTACAATTTCATCCTCTCTGTAACTCCTGTAGCTCTTAGCTGTGTCTGGTATAAAGCTGGGCTGCTCTTTGTATTTGCACCCCAGTATCTGCTGCTGTGATTGAAAATCATTTAATCCCCCCTCTCAGTCCATCCATTAGTGGCTGGCAAGTATCTGTAGTCTGCCAAGGTAATTGTGATGTGAAAGTCTTAAGGGTTTCCGTTATTTACAGCCTAGACACAGGACGCAGGGACGTAACCTCAGTGCTCCTGAAATATGCTGGTGCTCGTAGATATTCAGCAAGGTTGGGCCTTGGCAGCAGGCTCAGCACTGTACTGAGTTCTGGCAAGATGCCTGGTTAGATAGAATGAAACAAGATATACACATTTGATATAAAGGACATTTCCACCAGGCCTTGCCAGTCAGTGTGCAGGGCATTAATTAGAGTATTGATGGAACAGTTATAGGCAGAAGTGTGGGAAGTCAGAGTGGAGGCACAAAGGAGAAGAGAATTGATTGAGCCATATGGTCTGAATCCAAGATACCTGAGCACATGTGGAGTCCAGAGATTTTTACTCAACGGCCAGAGTGGGAAGCTTATGTGAAGTATCAGTGGCTGGAACAACACTGAATGGTGCATTAAAATATGGGCTCTGGAGTTAATGAAATCCTGCTCTGACAAGTCATGGTTGTGTGATTTTGAGCAAGTTGTTTCACCTCTGGTGTTTCAATATCCTCACCTTTAAAACTGAAACCATCTTAGTGCCTGTCATTCAACTGAATGAGATACAAATACAAGTCTGAGCATAGTGCCTGCAGGGCATGTAGTGACTCCTCTGTCAGCACTGTCTGGGTTGTTAATCATTCTCTTTAAGTGGTACTCGGGCGCCCCCTGGTGTTTGTGCTGTTGGGGATTCCCAGCTTGATTTTGCTTCTGCAACTGCTTTGTTGGCTGAGTTGCTTTGTGAGTTGGCTGGTTAACAACTGACAAGATAGATACCATCCAGGGTCTCTATGTTCATTTTTTAAATTATATTATTTTTATTAAGGAAATTTTGGTTTAAAACACTATATATCAACTAGGGATATAGATTCATACCACTTCAGCTGTGTGTTAGCACATCATGCCTACCACCAAAGCACCAAAAATCTTCTACTGTAGTCCATTGGGCCCCCTCACCTCTGTGCTCTCCATCCCCACTCTCAGCAGGGGTAGCCTCAGTTCTGCAGTTAGATTTCTATTGTGTTTTGGTTTGGTTTTCTATTCTTTTGTTTCTTTATATTCCATACGAGTGAAATCATCTGATGTTTGTCTCTTTTCCTTCTGACTTATTTTGTTTAGCATAATTTCCTCCAATTCTATCCATGTGGTCACAAATGGCAAAATTTCATATTTTTTAAAATAGCTGAGTAGTATTTTATTGTGCCACATATACCACAGCTCTGATAGGTATTGCGTTGAATCTCTATATTGCTTTTGTAAGATGGTCATTTTCACAATGCTAATCCATTTTCTTGTGTCTTCTTTTTCTTTTAATAAGTCTTACAGTTTTTGTTGTATGGATGTTTTGTCTACTTTGTTAAGTTAATCCTAGATTTTTAATTCTTTTGATATGATTGTAAATGGGATTTTAAAAAATTTTTTTTGAGTTTATTGTTTGCATATAGAAACAACAGATTTTTATATAGCCTGCCACTTCACTGTACTGATTTATTCTAGATTTTTTAGTGCAGTGTTATGGTTTTCTACGTATTTTGTTATGTCATCTGCAAATAGTGATAGTTTTATTTTTTCTTTGCCAATTTGGATTTCTTTTATATATTTTTACAGCCTAATTGCTCTATTCAGTACTTCTGTACTATGTTGAATAGTAGAGATGAGAGTGGACATCCTGTCCTCTACCTGATAATAGAGAAACAACTTTCAGTTTCTCATCATTGAATATGATAACCAAGGGTTTGTCATATGTGGCCTTTATTATTATGTTGAAAACATTTCATCTATCTCTGTTTTTGGAGGGTTTTTGGAGATGGATGTTGAATCCTATAAAATGCTTTCTCTACATCTGTTGATAAGATCTTAATTTTTATCTTTCCTTTTATTGCTGTGTTGGATTATATTGATTAATTTGTACGTGATGAACCATCCTTCCATCCCTGGAATAAAACCTACTTGGTCTTGATATATGATCCTTTTAATGTATTGTTGAGTTTGGTTTGCTAAGATTTTGTTGAGAATTTTTGAATGTGTTCATAAGAAGTATTGGTCTTTAGTGTTCTCTTTTTGTGATGTCTTTGTCTGCTTCTGGTATTGGAGTAATGTTGGCCTCATAAAATGCATTTGGAAACACTCCCTTTTTTTCAAATTTTTGGAAGAGTTTAAGAAGGATAATTTATTAGTTCATCTTTGAAAGTTTGTGGAACTCACCATCTGGTCCTGCGCTTTTGTTTTTTTGGGAGACTTTTGATTAATGTTTCAATTTCTTTGCTTATAATTGGTCTGTTTGGGTTTTCTATTTCTTCCTAATTCAGTCTTGGAAGGTTGTATGCTTCTAAAAATGTGCCCATTTGATCTAGGTTATCCAATTTATTGGCATAAAGACATTCATAGTAGTCACTTATGAGTCTCTATATTTTTTATATGTTTGTTATAACACCTGCTCTTCTGTTTCTAATTCTATTTATCAGAGTTTTCTCCTC